ACTTGCTTGGAAATTGTGTGTAGTAATTGACTTTGATAATTATTTTGTTGGTATCCTGCCTTAATATCTTGCATAATTACAGGATCTTTGTCTTCTCTATTAGCTCCGGTTTTAAAAAGTGTGGCTACAATTGCTCTATTAGAGGTATTTAATTTTAAGTTTCTCAGAGGTGGATGGATCGTTTTAGTTTTACTTCCATCAACTAATTCCCATACTTGATGTAAGGATGAACTAGTGTTAATTGATCTAAATGGGTAGCTAATATTATGAGCTATTAAATATGTCTCAAACCATATGAAAAATAGGATTTCTATCTTTTTGAATAACATACAATTATACCATTTTTTTCTAAATTCGATTATTTGTTATTTAGAAAATGTTAGAAAATATCAATTACGTTTCTCCTCAATTTCTTTTGAATAAAAGTCTTCTTTAATATATTGTTTATTAATTTCATATTCTTTGGTTATAACATTTATTGTCTTGAAATCGGATGGAGTAGGAGATGTTGGATACCTATCTTGATTAGGTTTAGCTATTGGTGCTTCAAATGTAATTGTGTTATCTTGATTAATATTTTGATTTATGCTTTTCGATTCATAATCAGTACTGGGTTGACCAGTACGAAATTCGGAAAATGATGTTCTTGAGTGATATGAACTAATTCTGGGTGGAAGTGGATTTCTAAATGATCCAAATTGTAATAATATTTTTCCATCTCTATTTTTAATTATTCTTGATATACTTTTTTGTTCAAAATTTCTAGGTGGCTGCGTTATATCAATTTTCCATTGTTCTGGAATAGTGATCTCATTCCAATTTAATTGCTTAGGTGTGTAGGTAGCTGTTGGAGTATCTTTACTATGTACTGCTAAAATAGTAGTTTCTCCCTTATCGTCTTGTAATAAACATCTTGGGTTAAACTCAGATGTTGATTGCTTAACATAAATTCGATATAGCAATAAATAGCCATGTCTTTTATTTTGAAATTTAATTTCTGGTAGGTGGATGTTTAGTACTAAAGTATTGAGTATTGTTGGATCATGTAAACTTACTTGATAATTAGGAGCGCAATTAAAATATATTGCTCCGTTGCATAAATTTGATTGGACAGCTCTTAATAGGGAGTCCTCAAATTTTAATAGAGTTTTGTCTCGTAATAGCATAAGAATAGGTGAATCTATACATGTTCTAAATAAGGGTTTAATAGCAATTTGTATAAGTCCAAAATGGATATAGTTAAATCCTTTTTGTTTATATTTGTCTATGGCAAGTGATGATAATAACTTAATTTCTTCAAACTCGTTTTGTAATGGTAAGGTTTGTTCATGTTCTTTTATAGAATATGTTGTCTTAAAGTCAAAAGTTCCAATTTGATATATATTATCTGGATTAATATGGGGTAATTGGTCTTTTGATATTTCTTGATTGAAAGATGTTATTTTGGACATAATTTCTCTTGAATTAATAGTTGTATGAGATGCTGAAGTAGAGGCATGCGTTGATCTAAAAAGTTTTCGGAAAGAAGATGCCATGATTAAATTAAACTCATACTGAGAGAATACTTACTGTTTACGTCTTCACGGCTGCGGCTTACCAACGGTCTTACGGCCTTCGTCAGGGCTTGCTGCCTGGAACACCTTCAACTTTTGTGGTTCAGTAAAAATAAAAATTCTCAAAGAAAGGGTTTAATTTGATTCACGAAAATCTTGTTTTGAAAAATCTTTTGGATCTTTTGGTCTGATACCATGTAATTTTTAATCATTTACTTCAAAACTTTATATTTACTTCAAATTAAATAAAAATCAAAAGTTTTAATCACTTACGTTTTTCAAAGCTTTATATCAAATTTTTTTAATATTTAATAGTAAAATATTTTATTGTTATAAACGTGACCAAATCTATTTTGAAATATGAATTATGAAGGTGTAAACGAATTCTCACTATGTAAATCAATCACCAATCTTGTTTTTGATGTTAACTTGAAGTTTTGGTCTCGTTTATAACAATAAAATCAAATTTTCGAAAAATCTCATGGATTTCCATCTATGAGATTTCGGTATTTTCGACTATTTAGAAACAGATGGCATAGTAG